AGTGCTTGTGAAAAAAATTGTTATACAAATTTTATGTACCCCCTTTAAGGGGTTGTATCTCAACAAGGGATGCTCCAATGAAGTCTCTCTATATAAAAGCTCCTTTTTTTTCGATGAGGAGTCACCTCCTTAAATGTTTTACACTTATTCAGTTACACCCTGTATAACAGGAATTGAAAGGGTTACGTCTCTCGCCTATAGATGTCCGTGGGAGTTTTAAAAGGCACGAAAATAACTTTCAAGTTTTTGAACTTGATAAAAAAATACATCAAACCTAAAAATGCATAGATTATATTGAAAGCATTCCATTCAGTGCACAAATTCAAGGTGTTGAAAAACATTATTAACACGCTTTCATTAGCTTCACTTGTATGTTTATATGTAAACGATTCCTTTGGACTCGATTTTGACTAACTTTAAACAGACATATTTATTTTAAACTTTGTGCACTTATCAATAATTGGTGGCCATACAATAATTTCATGAGTTTTCTCACACAGTCTCCGTGTGAGGTCAAGTGAGACAATCATACTGTGAGACATCAAGTGAGACAATCATACTGTCAGGGCTTGAAATAGCAAACCAAATCAAAAAGTGCAAAATAAATAACTGTTTGAAAAAAGTAAAAAAGACATGCTATAATAGGAACACAAAAACTGAAAAAAAAATTATTCGAAACTAATTTAACATTGTGTTCAACATCGTCCTATGAAAGTCATTAGTAACATCAAGCCATATGAGTTATTGTCGATATCGAACACAATCTTAAATTAGTCTCGATTTATTTTTTATTTTCAAAGATAGAAAAATATTAAGGTATAATTGTCCCATTTATTACTCTCTGTCGAAGCCATACATTCTTTCGAAACCTAGTTTGACTTTAAATACACCCTTTTAAGTTCCACTGTAGACTCAAGTATTTTTATTCGCTAATCACGAATATGGAGTCAAAAAATGGCGCTCCAAACTACTCCCAGAGATACGGCAATACATAAGTCCGATAAAATCTTTAAAAAAAAAGAAGCCATTTATCCGAATGATTATAAACTGGAGTTTATAGGATTCATTGATAAAGACCACACTAGTTCGTTTAAGCCGATTTCAGAACCTCCCCCCCCATCACTTTTAACATTGAAATGACCTCTACATACGTCACTCTAAGTAGCCAAGGTAACATTGAGGAGGTGTTTCGAGCTCGACCTTGAACGACCTTGACCTACGTAACACGGCGATGCAGGTAAGGTGACTTTGAGGTGGTGTTTTGGGTTAAACCTTGAATGACCTCCATTCACTACCCATATTTTCGACAAGATGACTTTGATTTCGAATTAACTCAAGACAGTTACGTGGCATTCTTGTTGTGTAGATGGCTTCGAACGATTGTTTTGTGTTTGGCTTTGAACGACCCTGACCTACATCACACGACAAAAGCAAGGTGACTTTGAGGTAATATTTTAAGTTTGACCTTGAACGACCTTCATTGATCCACGCGGCAATTTCAAAGATTCGACTTTGAAAGACACGAGACTTTCATTGCTGATTAAAAAGTTAGAATTTTATTATTCATTCTACCGTCAATTACAAGTTAGTTTTTTGTTTCAGTTGTACGAAAAATTACTGTCATATAATTTAGATTTTTGCAATAAATAACATAATTATCTGAAAGTGTTTTTATTTCATGAAACATATATGGTAACATTTGATTAGCTGATAATATTTTTCGCAAAGATAGTTCCAAATAAATTTTGTTATAAAAAAATCGGTTTGCGACCATTACTTTCTTGGAAAAAGTTTTTCTTACTGATGGATACTAAAGGCAATTCTCCAAAATATGATCGGCTAATTGAATATTACCCTTATACATAGGTATATAGATAAAATTGCTTTTGCCCGCGGCTTCGCTACAGGGTAATTAGTAGCGTCATCTGTATTAACCACAGTATCAATCGAATTATAGACCTTTCCTTCGCCCTCAAACGACATGAACAGGATATCGTAGATAGCTGCTGCTTGATCGTTCTTTGGAGTAAGTATGGCACGATCACATAACCATTCAATACGTTTGTCATGTATATGAATAATGTCTGGATAAAATTTAGACAGCAATTCTTGAACCGTAGTAACAACTGTGCACAATTCTTCCGGGATGGTTATCACTACATCAAACGATGGGAAATCACCATTACCGATTTCAAGAAAAAGATCTAAAAATCTACCAGCACATGGGGCCCCAAATCAGATTTCTTAATGCACGACTTTACTTCGTCAGCTCTGGTTCCTTTTGGCACCACTGGTAGAGTCTGCCGAAAGTCTCCGGCCAGCAAAACTGTTACGCCACCCATTAATTTTGTATTACCCGTTATACCCCTTTATGAGCTATCGTTTTTTCGTCCCACACGATTATTTTTGTACTCTTTAAAACTTCAGCAAAATTACTTTGTTTGGAGATGTTGCAAATGGGAGTCTCGTCTCGGCAGTTATTGAATTGAGTGGTAACTTAAAAGTAGCATGAGCAGTTCGACCACCT